GCCAATGCCCAGTTTGGTGTATATAGCCAGAGGCATCAAATTTATGCTGGCTCCTAAGTCACATAATGCCTTTGCAAAGGCATAACTTCCAATGGTGCACGGAATAGTAAAGCTACCTGGGTCAGACATCTTTTGAGCCATGGGTCTTGTCACTACCGCACTGCATGTCTGAGTCAGAGTTACTGTTGATAGGTCCTGAAAATCAAACTTTTGTGACATTAGGTCCTTCATCATCTTCGCATAGCCTAGCATCTCCCTCAAGGCATCCATCAAAGAATATTCAACTGAATTTGACGCAGCATGTCCATAAATTTCCTGTATTGATCTTCCTTCTTTTGTTTTACAAGTCTCTGAGGGAAGGGTGCAGGTATAACCCTTTGTGCACTGGTTGCTGGCTTCTCTCTGTTAGGGTTCTGTGGCACAAGAGGTACCACCTGTTCTGCAGCTTGTTCACTCACCTTAGCCTTACCCTTTTCATCCTGACCCTGTTCAACCACCACTTCAGTAAGTTCTGCTGGTTCATCTACCTCTAATGGAACTGGAGTGGCTGGCGTAGTCTCTTTGCTGGCTTGTGCAATCTCCTGCTCTCTGTCTAAATCTCTCCCATTCCGGAGACTTACTGCCATCAGCTGATTCGGGTTTTGCTCCTTGGGGTTAATGTTTGTGTCCGCTGGCAATGTTCCCTGGGGGCGGTTGTTTAAAGCCATAGACAGCTGCCCCAACTGAGTTTCAATGTTCTTTATTGCAGAGTCATGCACTGCCAACTTTTCCTGTATTTTACCATTTGTCCCAATGAGTTGCTGAAGCATACCCCTGATCTCTACCATGTTATTATCTTGCTGCTGAGGAGGTGGCTGATATGTCAACTGTTGCTGATTTTGCTGTGGATAACCCTGTTGTCTCTGATATGGTACTGGCACCATTTGGCCTTGGGGTTGCATACCTCCAGGCTGTTGCATGTTTGGTCTGTATTGCTGATTTGGTGCCGGTCTCCACTGCTGTCCTCCTTGTCTCTGACCCCCAAAGTTGTTGACATAATTCATATCTTCTCTTAACCCTTGGTTGTCACCTTCCCCACTCCATGAACACACATAAGACTGATTAACGCAGGGTGTACACAGTCCTCCATTTGTTGTGTCAACAATATGCACTTGCTTTGTACCCATCTCATCAATCTTCTTTGTCAGTATACTCATCTGAGTCATGAGTGTGGCAATGTTCTCTGCATGCGAATTATTTGGGTCAAGAGGAACTGAATGCACTATGGGTGCCGGTGTTGTACCTCTAGTCATCCACCCCGAATTCTGGGACATCTTGTCAAGAAGGACTTTGCACTCGGTGAATGTCTTACTCAAAAATGCACCTCCAGCTGAAGCATCCACATTGGCCTTTCGATTGTCAGCTAACCCCATGTAGAACCTTTGACCGAGCATCTGGTCTGGAATACCATGGTGAGGGCACTTCACTAGCATCCCTTTGAATCTTTCCCAAGTTTCTTGTAAGGTCTCAGTCGGCTGCTGCTTGTACTGCAATATTTCATCAATCTGCCTTGCAGTCTTATTAGGTGGGTAGAACTTATTCAGGAACTGCTTGACTAATTCCTCCCAGGTGACAATGGAATTTATAGGGAGCGAATTCAACCAAGTCTGAGCTTCCCCAGTCACAGAGAACGGGAACAGTAACAGCTTGATAGCTTCCGGGGTCACATTAGGCTGCCTTTGGGTCACACAAATCGACAGAAAATTTTTCAAGTATTTCTGAGGGTCTTCAATGTGTGACCCGGAGAACAACCCCTTATTCTGCAGAAGATGCAGCATGTTGTTGTTGATCTGGAATGTTTCCGCTTGAATTGGGGGCACAGCTATGGCAGTAGCCAGGTTGTCAGCTGTAGGCTGTGCCCAATCATAAAGTGCAGCTTCTGGCACAAGAGGTGCCACTACTCTGACGTTTGGGGCAGCTGGCTCATCCCTGATGTTTCCGTTGACGTTCTCTACGTCACCCATGTCAATTTCAAGCTGGCGTGGTTGTTGTGATTGTTGGATCCTCTTGTTAGCACGGTTCAATGCCCTGAATGTTTTCTCGGGATCTGAGAGTCCTTCAAGCAGTTCTCCAGTCCTCGAAGAATTTCTAGGCATACACCTGAATTCCACAAGAGTACAAACGTGAGAATTTCAATGAAAAGATTGTTTAACACCTTCGAAAATTGATTTAAACTAATAATTCTAACACTACTTCTAAGTTGTAATAAATAACACCGTTAGTTCCCCAGCAACGGCGCCAAAATTTGATCACGCCCAACTATGCCTTCTAAAAGACAAAGGGTCGTTGCAAATATAATCCGGTTTTAAGTCCGGAGTCGAATCCTCAGGGAACTAACCTATCTACTACAACTCTTTGGCAATGCTATTATCAACTCAACCAATTTCTAGATGCAAGATTTTTATCAATCAATCTTGGGTTTTTGATTAACTACTTCAAATAATATCAGAAATAACAATATGCTAGATTAAAGATAATTCAATGGTAAAAAGGTCTAGGGCAGTGATTTCCCCAATTGCTAGTTTAGATCTTGACTCTTTCGCTATAATCTCACCGTATTACTCTATGAGGATTATGAGCTATGGGTTATCGTAATTATCTCTCGATCAACTACGATAATTTACTAGAGCATTCTGTCGAACTACTCTAGCTGACACTATGTGCAGCTCTAATTTATCCCACCAAAGCTTCGTTATCTCTAAACCCACTTTTAAGTTCAAGTAATGAATCTCTTCAATTACCCAAAAGTGATGTTGTTCAACAGCAGTCTAACCTAATATTCTTTATCAAGCAACAGGAGGTAATTAGACACGATTAATCAAGGGCCCATTCAATTAATCACCATACAAAACGTAGTTGAACAATCATATAATAAATCCGGCTCGATTATAACAAGTTGAGTCAAAACTTCAACCAACAATTGGTTCCATCAACCCTAGATAATTGTTTAGCTACTCATAACAAAATAAGATATAACTACAAAATTGTTCATAATGTATAATTGCAAGAATTAAAAGGAGATAGAAAAACTCTAATGTTTGGTTGATCTTCTCACACTTGTTCTTGCCTCCAAAGTAGTGTAAAAACAAGCTTGATAATGTCTTGGGCGAGCTTCTAGAGTTTATAAGGGTTTGGACTAAGTTTTCCCCGAGTTACACTTTGGTCCACAAATTTTCTGGCAACTGAACAGTTCACCGCGGCCGCGGCACGACCGCGGCGCGACCGTGGTGAAGGCTAAACATTCTGCCTCGAGTTAGTTGTCTGCCGCGGTCGCGGTAGATTTCACCTCAGTCCATTTTTTGCTTCTTTATGCTCGGGTGCTTCTTGATTGGACGTTTTCTTCACATTATTGACTCCAAAACACTCCTTAGTGCTTCCTAACTTAGATTATTCCTTGCGAAGCAAAAGAACACCAATTAGAACATTTTGTTGTCAATTTGCCTATAAAACAACAATAAAGCATGGTAATATTAAGGTGTAAATATCATCTATATAGCCTATAATATCACTAACTCAGGTGAAATGAAGCATTAATCCAGCGATTGACCTGGACCTCATCTATACCTCTTCTGCAAACTTAAATGAAACAAGGATATATTTTCTACTGTAGCACCCCTGAGGATTTGGTGGGAGGTCGGGGAGGAAGGAGACACAGAGAGATGAATGTATATGCATGTATGGGTAAACAGTTCGTGAATGAGAAAAATAAACATTTACAAGAGGCAAAGATATCTGTGAATAGAGGATAGAAGGTTCCTAGAGGCGAACGGAGTCGTATTTACACTTCTGAGTTTGTTTTAGTGGTTTGGCCTGTAGTTTCATATGAAGATTGTCCAGTGAAGGGATGCCTGTTCCCAGGTATTGATGGAATGTTGACAGAGACCTGCTTGGGTGTCTATCGTTTTCTCTAGACTAAGTAGATAGTGATGCAGACTGCAGACACTGGGGCAGTTACACAACATAACAACAAATCCAGTATAATCTCACATAGTGGAGTCTGGGGAGGGTAGTGTGTACGGAGCCTTACCCCTACCTTGTGGAGATAGAGTGGCTGTTTCCAATAGACCCTCGGCTCAGAGAAGCATAAGCACCACATCACTGAAGAGAAAAACAAGAAGCGCAACAACGAGAAGCCATGTGAAAGCAGCATAAATAACAACCGGATAGTCAGATGACCGAAATGAAAGAAACCTCAATTAACAGGTAGTCATATAAATCTAATACCAACAGAATACGGAAGTACGTACAAATACAACCGGTATGAGAAGGAACACTAAACTAACTACTCTGCTTCCCAAATCCTCGACCTCCACACCTTCTTATCAAGGGTATGTCCTCGGTCAGCTGAACCTGCGCCAAGTCTTGCCTAATCACCTCCTCCATATTCTTTTTCGGCCTACCTCTACCTCTCTTTAGGCCCTCCAATGTCAACCTCTCACACCTCCTGACCGGAGCGTCAACCATCTAAGCCTCGCTTCACGCATTTTGTCCTTAATAGGGGTCACACCAACCTTGCCCCGAATAACTCATTTCTAATCCTATCTAACCTTATATGCCCGCACATCCATCTCAACATCCTTATCTCTGCTACCTTCAGAGCTCTTCTGATCGTAAACGCTCTTCTTTTGGACTCAAAAGCAAGAACTTTGCTGTTCTTATAGATCTAATTCATTGAAATTCCATCCAATAAAACGGAAGAATTATAAATCTTCAAAATAATAGATAGAAATGCCGCAAATAAGGCTATTGCGATATCGCCCGCTGTATCATTGACGCGGGCGGGGTTTCCTCGCATCATACCGTCGTTTCATTGAAAGATGATTCGACGTCGTGATGCAAAGGCTGACCGATTCTGCTTTGTCTCTCATGATTTTCGATATCGCGGGTAGTCCACTTATATCGTAAGATAAGTATGGCTACCTTCGAGTCGATCTTTGAGAGATGTAGCTCCTACTACGGACATGGGAGCTATTGACTGGCCAATACTTAGCCCCATACAACATAGTCAGCCTGAACACCACTCTGTGAACTTACCTCTAAGTTTTGCTGCACCTTCTTATCGCACAAAACACCGGAAGCAAGTCTCGGCAGTTGCACAGCATAAGAAGAAAAATAAGTTGCATTTACATATTACCTACCTTTTCACAAAAAGAAAAATAAGTTGCATGACCGAAGTGCCAAAGTAAGTTGATCAGAAATCGAAGCCTGTGAAGTCTAAACAAATATGATTTGCAGAGGTTGCCAGTTGTATAAACTATGCCAGAAGGAATGTAGAATGTAACAAAAGCCTGTAAAAAAAGCCAAGGGGTGATACTTTTTTCTGAATGCCTTTTGACTCTAGGTTGTAGGCAATTTTTTGTTCTCCTCAATCTTTTTGGTTTCTTATTGGCGAACTGTATGCTGTATCAAGAGCCTTGAGGTCATACCAACGTGTGATTTTTGTTGGTTTTCCTGTAACGGCATATCATATCACATCATCCTTCATGATGTGTGAATTTCTTCATTCTTCCAACTGACGGGAGATTTAAAGCGGTTGTAATGATAGAAATATGAGAGTTGAAAATTTAGTTTCAGTAACTTGGAACATATGTTTCCTTTAAACCATTAGATTTCCATAAGCATAATTTGCTTAACCTAATTAATGAAGCTTGCATTCAATGAAGCATTTCTCTTCCTCCTAGTTGCTGCTGGCTTAGGAAAACTGTACTAATTTCTCCTTCTGAACGCCTCACTCTTATTATGTTACTTTTGGCGATTTGTATTACTATTATATTTGTAAATATCTTATGTATGTTAAATTTTTGTTCACTTCCCTTGAACTACGGATACCTAACCAAACTATTGGTTGTTGCAGGAGGAAGTTGCAAAGGAATTGGGTATACCTGTTCCATTTCAGCGTTTCTGGATTTGGGCAAAGCGGCAAAATCACACTTATCGGCCTAATCGTCCATTGAGTCCACAGGAGGAATTACAAACAGTAAGTTCTAGTTTTAATACCATGTTAAGACAATGGAACCAGCATTGGGTAAACCGGGGATGCAACTAGGTCTGATTCTGATACCATGTTAATACAATGGAACTTGGATCTAACTCAATCCCAAATGTTAGCTCATGAGGCAAGGGTTGTCCGGCACCATATAAGAAGACAACAACTTCCCTCAACCAATATTTGACACTCTAACATGCTCAGTGGAAATGCTTGTGTGATTTGTCACTTGGTGTCAGTTGTATGTTAGTATCTGTTTGGTGAGAGTATTAGAGATTCATTTGGTTGCCCCGATGTTAAATTGACTACCTCTGGCAAGGCAATAAATTTGTTGGTCCTTTTTTGAGTTGGTGTGTTGTAAGGGAAATACATGTGATGTTGTATTGCCTTCTTGAGTTATGTTAGAGTTTGCATTGATGTCGAAGCTTAAACTTTCCATTGAAGTGCTTCAGGCTTTTTTGGTTGATAAGCTCGCTGTAAAGTTGCTTCATCTCGGAATTTACCTTGTGATTTGAGGGAAATAGATCTCGTGTAGGAAAAACTTACTAAAGCTGTTAGGGTTAGTTTAGAAAGTAAGGTTTAGATCAAATCCGGAGAGCTTATTCTGCTTCTTTTTAGTGATTTTCTTTTTTGAAAAGGTGAAGATTGATTAAATGAGTACCAAGATGGTAGCAGAAAGAAATACAAAACTGCTGGGAATATCCATGCAGTTAATTATAGCATTTTCTTATTAATTCCATAAAGTCCATGTAATGATCAATACTATCTACCATACTGCTATTACACCAAGGAAATAGATTATGCAAACACTTAATCTTTTTCTAAAGATATGATATTTCTGCCCATCAAAGCAAGCACTATTTCACTCTAGCCAAATAGTCCAGAATATGCACAGAGGTATGGTTCTCCAAATCTGTTTAAGAGCTTTATGCGTCTTCTGATGCTGCCAACTATTCATAGGGCCTGACATCCAAGAAATCCCACATATATTGAAAAAAAGCTCCCAGCACTGTCTAGCATATCTACAATGCAAAAGAAGGTGATTAGTAGTCTCCCGTTCTTCTTCACACAAATAGCATCTGTTACAAAGAACAAAGCCACTCTTCTGAAGATTATTTTGGGCAAGACAAGCTTCCCAAGCAGCAGTCCAACCAAAACACGCAGCCTTTACAGGAGCTTTATTCCTTCACATCACTTTCCAAGGCCAATTAAGTTCCCAGTGACTTGCAATTTTCCTTAGCAAATTATAACAGCTTTTGACCGAGAACTTTCTGTCATTACTAGCATTCCATATTAATGAATCCTTCTTACTAAGATCAATGTGGGTAGAGCTGAACTGAAGGAGCAACTGACAGAAATTTTCTATCTCCCAATCATTCAATTCCTTCTGAAGTTTTCCGCCAGCCAGAATCTGAATAGAAATCAGCCACCACTCCATCCCTATTACTGCAGCAGTTAAATAAAACAGGAATTTATTTTTCAAACATTCCTCACCATTCCATAAATCAATCCAAAATTTTAATCTTTCTTCCATTGCCCACCTCCAGGCTAGTAAACTACTTGAACTCCTCCCATAGTTTGCAAACCTCTTTCCAGATTCCCCCTCTAGTATACATACTACTGAAAGGGGGATTCCATCCTTGTCGACTACTATAAATAGATTCAATTATTTTAACCCAATCTGCTTCTTCATCCCTATGAAATCTCCACAACCACTTGAACTTCATACTTTTTTTTTTTTTTTTTGAAATGGTAACAGATTTCATTGATAGATAATTCTCAGCGCCAAGATAGTGCTGAGAGAAAAGGTCCCTAGTTACAAGACTTCCAAAAAAGAGAAAGATGAACAAAAACAAGCAGAGAAATACAAGTCTTTTGTCATTTACAAGGATCCGATGAGATCAACTAGGGAATCTACATCTTGTACTAAAGCTTCTTTACACCAAAAGTGAAACAATGATATACAGTTCATTTTAATCTTCTGTTCAGGATTTGCCGAGTCTTCAAAACATCTAGAGTTCCTTTCCAGCCAGATAGTCCACCAAATGCATGCTGGAATGAGACTCCACCACTTCTTCTGGCTGGTTCCTGCAGCTAAATAGTCCCAGCTAGACAGCATGTCCATAGTCTCTCTAGGCATCACCCAGCTTAAGCTTTTCATACTTATGAAAAGTTGCCACAAACTATTGGTCACCTGACAATGGAGAAATAGATGTTTGTTTGTTTCGATGGCCCTTCCACAGAGAAAACGTTTGGAGCACAGAGGCATTCCTCTCTTCATTAAGCTCTCATGTGTCAGAACAGCCTGTTTGACCACTAGCCAGCAAAACACATGAACTTTAAAAGGGACCTTCAACCTCCAGATGTGCTTCCATATCCAAGCCTCTTGTTGCTGCGACCTTCTGTTTTAAAACCTCATATGCAGATTTCACAGTGAAAACTCCTTTGCTATTGTTTTTCCATAACAGTTTGTCCACTTGCTCAGTTGGTCCTTTGAAGTTTTCCAGAAGTTTCAGAAGCTCAATTACTCTGGTCACCTCCCAATCATTCAGTAGTCTTCTGAAGCTTAAATTCCAGCCTTGCTGACTCCAGGTATCAGCAATAGAAGCATCTGTTTGCTGCACTAAAGAGTATAGATCAGGGAAACTGTCTTTTAGTGGAGTATTCCCTATCCACTCATCCTTCCAGAAGACAGTTTTTGCACCATTACCCTCCTTTATGCTAGAATTGCTCATTAGGTTTTGCCAGAGAGATCTGATATATCTCCATACGCTCACACCGTAAGGGCTAGTCACTGTACCTGTGCTCCACTGGCCTTCAGTCCCATATTTTCCACATATCACTTTCCTCCATAGGGCGTGTTCCTCCAAGGGGAATCTCCATAACCATTTCATAAGTAGGCTCTTGTTATGCTGCCTCAAATTTCTGATTCTCAATCCACCTTCCTTTTTGCTAGTCGTGAGAGTTTTCCATTTAACTAAATGGTAGCCTCTTTTCTCTTTATTCCCATGCCAAATAAAGTTCCTCCTCAAAGCATCAATCTTTTTCTCAACACTAACACGTAGTGGAAAATTGGACATCATGTAGGTGGGGAGGGAGTCTACTACACTGTTGACTAGTGTGACCCTCCCTCCCAAGGATAGGTAACTGCTCTTCCACGTGGATAACTTCTTTTCACACCTTTCTAGAACCCCATTCCATATCTGCTTGGACTTGCTCTTTGCACCTAGTGGTAGCCCCAAATAGGTGGTAGGAAGAGATCCCACTTCACATCCTAGGGAGCCAGCTAGTCTTTGGAGATCTGTGACCTCATTAACAGTGAAAATCAAGGATTTACTCCAGTTCACATGTAAACCTGAGATGGCCTCGTAAACAGTCAAAATTAATCTCAAGTGAGTAACCTGCTCCCCCTTGGCATCACAAAAAATAAGTGAGTCATCAGCATAAAGAAGATGAGTGATTTCCATGACACTACTTGCATTGTTGGGAACCCTGAAGCCCCTAATCCACCCCTCCATGTTCGCTTTCTTGATCATGCAATTCAACCCTTCCATAGCAATAATAACAAGGAAAGGGGAGAGAGGATGTCCCTGCCTTAGGCCTCTCTGAGATGGAAACAAGCCTTCTGGGGTACCATTGATAAGGATGGAAAATCTGACATTTGAGATACAGAACTGGATCCACCTAATCCATTTGTCGCCAAAACCCAAATCTCTGAGGAGCTTTAAAAGGAAACTCCAGTTAATGTGATCGAAGGCCTTTTCAATGGCCAATTTGCACAAGATGCCTGGGCTTTTCTCCTTGATTCTGGAATCCACACATTAATTGGCTATTAGAGATGTATCCATGATTTGTCTACCTTTAATAAAGGCAATTTGTTGCTCATCCACCAGTTTATGAATCACCTTCTTCAATCTCTTTGTTAAAACCTTGGATATGATTTTGTAGACACTCCCTATTAGACTTATAGGTCTATAATCCTTCAACTCACCTGCCCCTATCGTCTTAGGAGTTAAAGCTAAGTATGTGGCATTAAAGCTTTTTTCAAAATACCCATTTGTGTGAAAATTATGGAAGGTGTTCAAAAGGTCCACCTTAATCACATCCCAACAATGGAGAAAGAATCCAATTGTACCCATCAGGGCCAGGAGCCTTATCTGTTGCACATGCTCTAAGGCCCTCCAATATTTCCTGCTCATCAAACTCTCTTTGAAGCCACTGCACCTCGGTTTCGTTGATCTTGGAGCCGTGTGGATAGTTAAACTCTGGCCTCCATTCCTCTGGTTCTTTGTAAAGCTGCTGGTAAAATGATTGATCTCAGCCTTGATTGTATTCAAATCCTCCACCTGTGTACCATTGATGTTAAGTTTGTCAATGGTGTTGAACCTCCTATATGTATTGGCCACCTTATGGAAGAATTTTGTGTTTCTGTCCCCCCAGTTTCAACCATTGGACTCTGGATTTTTGTCTCCAAGAGATCTCTTCGTTTTTTGCAATTTCTTCCAGTTCCATGGCCAAGCTTGCTTTTAGGGTCAGTTCATCATCACTGAGATCTCTGCTTTCTTGCGCAGCATTAAGCTCAAAAATTCTGTTCAGACATTCTGTTTTCCTTGCTTCTTTGAACTTCGTACTTTTATTATGAAGTCTCAAGTTCCTAACCCCTAGACCCCCTCCCCCCTCCCCCCTTTGATCACTGAGAACTGTCTGCCATTTGATTAAGTGAATCTTTTTATTTTCATTATTTCCATCCCATAGAAACTTATTCCTCATGGAGTTCAACTTCTTTTCAATTGCAGTAGGCATAGGAAATAAAGACATTAAGTAGGAAGGCTTCCCATCCAAAATGTATTTATCAGAGTTAGTCTGCCTCCAAATGATAGATATTGCTTCTTCCATGGAGTCATTTTATTAGCACGTGTATCCAAAATTCCTTGCCAAATACTTTGGTCATTTCTTCTCACACTGAGGGGGAATCTTAGATAAACTCTAGGGAGTTTATCCATCTGGCACCCTAGAATATTTTCTAGTTCTTCTATATTGTCATCAGCATTAAAGCTATAAATATTGCTCTTCCCCAGATTGACTTTCAACCCAGAAACTGCTTCAAAAGGCAGTAAAATTCCTCTGAGATATAAACATTGTCCCTTCCTCCATCCTTAAAGAGGAAGGGGTTCACTAAACCAATATTTACTGGATTGTGCTTTCTTCCCTGTGGTGACGAAGAAAAATGTTTTGAATCTCTTTTCTTGTAGAGCTGCACTAGCATTTTCATGCATGTCACTTCGGTAGAATGAGAAATATTAAGCGAAATAATAGGCAGGGGTGGATCTAGTGGAGGAGCTATGTTTTCATCTTAGCCCAGTAGCTTTGGCCTAGATACCATATATATGTTAAAAGGCCTACTCAATAAGTACAAATAATGAACTTTGAACCCAATAAATTAGATTGAATGTAGCAGAATTTCGACTATGAACTGAAAGTTCAAATCCTGGATCAACTTCTGATATTAGGAAATCGAAATTGTGGAAGAATTGTTAGGGCGGCTCTTTGATGTTAATATTCAATTTTCTGCAAAATTCTTTAAGGTTATTCTATTTGTTTTATAACCTTGTGCAAATAATTTTTTCCGATAACTGTGGTGTTCGGGCAGCTTGCGTGCACCTCCACTAATTCCACGGGATTCCTGCTACCTCCCACCAACAACAGGTACCAAGTAACTCTATCCACCAAGGCTTGGACATATGGGAATTAATCACCTAGTGTTTTTGCCTCCGCTGGGATTTGACCAGGTTCTCAACTCACTTCATTGATCACTAGGCCAGTGTTATCAAAGGGGGAAAGCGCAAAAAAATTATAATGTCTATTGGAGCGTTAAGCGCAAAGCGCAAATAAAGTTTGGGCTTTAATGAAGATAGACACTAATGGAGAACTACAAATATGTATGTGTAGTCCAAGACTAATCTCTATAAGCATGAATGTCAAATATACGGACAAAGAAATTGAGAAAATTTATTATAAAGTGAAATCAATTGTTTAGTGTCGCCTCTTCAGGATTACGCTCATTGGCAAGGAAAAGTATGCTTTAGGGCCTTGATGACAATACTGAAGCGTCCCCCAAGCGAGGCGAAGCGCTTAACATGTTTTGAGCCTTGCTTCAGAATCTAAGCGCGCCTGTGATAACACTGCACTAGGCCACACCCTTGGGTGTATCCTTGTCCAACTAATCATGGAGTAGTTATTGGAATACTATTTTCTGCAAGCTTGCCATTCAACTTTCTTAAGTTATTTAAGGATGTACTTTCATAACTCCTTGGCGTAACTATAATACAATACTCTCAACTAGTTGAGAATTTATTGGAGGTGTGAACGTTGTTTTCCAAATATATGTTTAGACTAACTAGTAATATGTACTGATCCTTTACAAAAGTTTGATCCCCCCGCAGTGGTTTCATAGATAGTTTGGTTACTTATTTTCTTCTAACAACCTAATCAAAATCTTTGAAAAGTAAATTGCGCCGTGCAGTCCTAAACATGCGAACTGTACATTTTAATCAGAGTATCAAGTGAGTGTGATTATGTTGTTAGTCAGAATAAAGGAATGCTTGCTAATTATGTCGGATACTTTTAATTCGAAGGATTTTCTTTAATGTCAATCACTTGCTTCCTCTATTTCTAATTTATCGATTCCATTATATTGTTAAACAGTGACTAAGATTTTTGTTTGACTAAACTTGTGGAATTAAAAGCTAAATGAAAATGAATAGTATCACTTTTAATTTCAAATTTTATCTTAATACTCTTAGTGTCTTACTTTCCTTTTTAGTCTCTTTCAAAAAGAGTGCCTCTTTCCACTTTGGTAACTCTCTAATTCCAATATTCTACATGACTTGTTTAAGACCACAAGAATTAAAGGGTATTTTGGTACATTACATACATCTTTAGTTTTAGACCACAAGATTCAAAAGTCTCCTTTATTTACTTGAACTCCGTGCCTAATCTAACAACAACAACAGCAACAACAACAACATATCCAGTATTATCCCACACCGTGGGATCTGGAGAGGGTAGTGTGTGCGCAAACCTTACCCCTACCTTGTGAGGATAGAGAGGTTGTTTCTAATAGACCGTGCCTAATCAAACTAAGGCACTTAAATTGAATCGGAGGGAGAAGAAAATATTTCAAAAACTTTATGGTTTGGAGGTAATATATTTTTGACTATTTGACTAGTCACTAGGTCAAACAAAGCAGACACAATGAGAATGGTAGGTAATAAAATATTTTTCAACTATATAATTAAGTTTTTAATAGTATAATTCTATGTAATACAGAGTTTATCTTGATCATGTAAATTAATGCTTATTCATATTTTTGATGATCTTTAAATTGTCTGGTCTAACTACAAGGTTGTAGTTTGACCGACTATGTTGTATGGAGCAGAGTGTTGGCCGGTCAAGAACTCTCATACCCAGAAGCTAATAGTAGCTGAGATGAGGAAGTTGAGGTGGATGTGTGGGCATATCCGGTTGGATAAGATTAGGAATGAAGTTATTTGGGAAAAAATGGGAGTAACCCCTTTGGAGGATAAGATGCGGGAGGCGAGGTTGAGATGGCTCGGGCATGTTAAGAGGAGAAGTATAGAAGCCCCAGTTAGAAGGTGTGAGCGGTTAGCCTCGGTGGGCAGCAGGAGGGGTAAAGGTTGGCCTAAGAAGCCTTTGGGAGAGGTTATAGGCGGAACATGGCGCAACTGGAGCTGAACGAGGACATGGACATGAGGGTGTGGAGGTCAAAGATTAGGGTAGAAGGTTCGTAGTCGAGAGTTTTCCTTTGTCTTACTCAGTTCCCTAGCATTAGTGTTAGTATGATATTTTTTATTCATAGATAGCTATAACTACCTAGAGTTTGACTGCATTCTTGGATTCGATCTTATTTCATCTTGCTGTTATTCCTACTTGTTGTAATTACCTTTTCTTTTTCAGTTGTTCTCTAGCCGAGGGTCTATCGGAAACAACCTCTCTGTCCTTCCAGGGGTAGGGGTGAGGCTGCGTATATCTTACCTTCCCCAGACCCCACTTGTGGGAAACTACTGCATTTGTTGTTGTTGTTGTTGTTTAAATTGTCTGGATCATGCGGATAAGACTTTCAGTTGTGGTGTAGAACGAATTTCAGTATATCCTTGTTTATCACCTAGTGATTCTTACTTTATACAAAGATATCGATAATTGTATTGTTGAACTATATTCTTGTTAATGGCTCTATTTTCCTTACCAATTGTTTGCTTACTTGTTCTTCAATGCTTTTATGACAACCCTCACCATTTGCCTTGTTGAGCTTGATGCTCCAGTTTATTAAGAATTCGCCTTTATCTTTTCATTAATCTGTGAATATTATCATATAAGAGAACCGTTTGCACGTGCAGGTTGGGCAGTTAAGAGAAGTTTCTAACAAAACCAACACTGCGGAACTGAAGTTATTTTTGGAAGTGAACCATGGGCTGGTACCTCCTTAGATATCCTAAAGATTATATTTCCAATTGCTTAGTTTTAGTTCTCGCTGTTGACAGGTATTTTTTGAGTTTGCTATTTCTGACGACTTACATGGAAAAATATCAGGATTTGCTTCCTATTCCTCTACCTGAAAAAAGTAAAGATGATATACTCCTTTTCTTCAAACTTTATGATCCTGCGAAAGAAGAACTACGGTACGTGTGTTTTTATTAGAGAATACATGCTACATTTTCTTGTGGAGGTTTAGCAGCTAAGTTTCTTCCAAATTTGGAATTACAGTTATATTGGTAGGCTGTTTGTGAAGAGTTCCAGTAAGCCAACTGATATACTTGGAAAGCTGAATGAATTGGCTGGATTTGCTCCCGACCAAGAAATTGAGCTTTTTGAGGTGTGTTAATGCTGTCTTCTTTTTGTTATTGATGCCATGGTGATTACATATCTAATGTTATTGATCCACTACAGGAAATAAAATTTGAACCTTCTGTCATGTGTGAACGCCTAGACAAGAAGGCTTCTTTTCGATTTAGCCAGGTTTTTGCTCATTTTGTCCCCCC